GAACCAGCACCAGAATCTGTAGAACAGGCTTCTCCAGAAGAAGCTGCCCCATGAGCTGACTTAGATTCTTAGATACTGCAGCACCCAAGGCAAAGGCCAAAGCCAAGGTGAAAGCAAAATCTAAAGTCAAGGCAAAGGCAGCAGGTAAAGCCAAGGCTGCTGCCAGCAAAGCTCCTGGGGTTACTTCTTCGCCAATGAAAGCTCAAAAGGCAAAAGCCAAGAGCACAATGAAGAAAATCCTGAAAAGACCTGATGCAGCTGAAGGCGAAAGCCAAGGCCAAAGCGAAGACTGCCAAGGAGATGGCAGCAGGATGGAAGAAGACCAGGGATGAGCCAGTTCCTGATGACCATGCAGAAGGAGAAGATGAGGAGCCTAAAGAGGAGGATGCAACAGTTGCTGATGATGAGCATCGAAGCTACCCCAAGGTAAGGAAATGCGCCAGAATGATCAAAAGTGGTCAGGTGCCAGAAGATCTTCAGCAGCTCTATGAAGAGGGCTCCAAGAATTCTCCTCCCCCAAGGTTATTTAAGAGTCAATTCATCAACAAAGTCTTTCAGCAGAACACCAGTGGCGAGTTTGCTTTTGCTCCTGGAAATACCCAGTGCGAGGTTTTCAAGAAGAACTTTGAGATTTGCACCAACAAATCTCAGGTTACTGGGTTGCCTCACTCCATCATGTCGTGGAAAAAATCCAGTGAAACCAGCAAGCTTTGAATGAGCAGAAAGACGAGGTGATGTCTATCAGAAAGATGGTTACTATCATGTCAGGACAATAGCCACAGCCATTGAGAAGAAGCAGGGCAGTTCCATGGTCTTGCATGGTGTCCAAGCCAACATCACCAAGGATGAGTTATTCGCAGATGAGTCAATTCATGTCGAGCAGGCCCTGGAGCCAGCTTGGCACTGGAGCTAGTTGTGGTGGTAGTGGTAGTGGTAGTTGTGGTAGTGGTAGCAGTGCTTCCTCTACACCAGCTGTGGTTACTTCATCCTCAGCATTGCCAAAAGCGATTTGTGATGCTCCTGTGAAACTGAGCAGGGCAAGTGCTCCCAGGAGCGACTGGGCAGAGATTGTCAAAGACCGGCTGTCAAAATCTGTTTTTTGACAAGAAAGACCAAAAACTCAATTATACTTTGATGGATGTCCTCACCGAGCTTTCAAAGACAGAATGTATGCTTGGGGTTACTTCATTGTAGCTTTGATGTTGTATAACATATCTTCAAGACATCCAATCAGATTTGATCTTCACAAATAAAAACTTTGATTTGCTCAAACAAGTATAAGTTCAAACAATATAGTTTTTTGCACTTCCCAGTAATCATGTAGGACTGACTTCACACAAAATCAAGAAACATATTGTTAAAATACCTTTCAAGCAATTGATAATGTTCACTTTACTATGGTACAATGTTAAGAAAATGTCGAAATTCATTATCTTTTTTTCCATGCAAAAAATGCAAAATTTCAAGGTAAAATTTGAAGGTATTTTTTTAAACCCCAAAAATTACCTTGAAATGGACCCTTAAAAATTAACTATGTAGTTAAAAAAAAATAACTATTTTTGTTTCCTTAAAAATAAACTATTAGTTAGAAAATTGCCTCCAAAGTCACTTTTACCTATTTTGCTCCAAATAACCTTGCCTGACCTATAGGGTCCATTCTGGTTCCCCATTTGCTGTCTCGCTCCCTCCCAGTGAAGCTCTCCGAAAGCTATTTGCACGGTTTCCTATCCGCCCATCACGCTGTCTCGCTCCCTCCCAGCGAAGCTCTCCGCCAGCTATTTGCGCCGTTTCCTATCCGTCCAGCATGCTGTCTCGCTCCCTCCCAGCGAAGCTCTCTGCCCAGCTATTTGCACGGTTTCCTATCCGTCCAGCATGCTGTCTCGCTCCCTCTCACCAAAGCTCTCCGCAAGCTATCTGCACGGTTTCCTATCCGTCCATCATGGTACCTCGCTCCCTCCCAGCGAAGATCTCCGGAGTTTGGAAAACCGTTTGACCAGTCTTGATACCGTTTGACCAGTCTTGGGTCTACATTTTTCGGGACAATCGCAATGATGACATATGTCCTGAAAAAACCGCGCCAACACCTCTGCATTCAACTGTCCACAAGCCATTTCCACGGCTTTAATGCTGTTTCGCTCCGTCCCAGCGCAGCTATTTCCACGGTTTCCTGTCCGTCCAGCATGCTGTCTCGCTCCCTCCCAGCAAAGCTCTCCGCAAGCTATTTGCATGGTTTCCCATCCGTCCAGCATGCTGCCAGCGAAGCTCTCCGCAAGCTATTTCCAAGGTTTCCTGTCTGTCCATCATGCTGTCTCGCTCCCTCCCAGTGAAGCTCTCCGACAGCTATTTGCACGGTTTCCTATCCGCCCATCATGCTGTCTCGCTCCCTCCCAGCGAAGCTCTCCGCAAGCTATTTGGGCGGTTTCCTATCCGTCCAGCATGCTGCCTCGCTCCCTCCCAGCAAAGCTCTCCGCAAGCTATTTGCGCCGTTTCCTGTCCGTCCAGCATGCTGTCTCGCTCCCTCCCATCGATGCTTTCCGCCAGCTATTTGCACGGCTCTCTCGCTCCTTCCCAGCGGAACTCTCCGCCCAGCTATTTGCACGGTGTCTCATCCGTCCAGCATGCCGTCTCGCTCCCTCCCAGCGAAGCTTTCCGCAAGCTAACTGCACAGTTCCCTGTCCGTCCAGCATGCTGTCTCGCTCCCTCCCACAAAAAATTCTCCGCAAGCTATTTCCACGGTTTCCTATCCGTCCAGCATGCTATCTCGCTCCCTCCCAGCGAAGCTCTCCGCAAGCAAACTGCACGATTCCCTGTCCGTCCAGCATACTGTCTCGCTCCCTTCCACAAAAAACTCTCCGCAAGCTATTTGCACGGTTTCCTATCCGTCAAGCATGCTGTCTCGCTCCCTGCCAGCGAAGCTCTCCGCGAGCTATTTGCACGGTTTCCTGTCCATCCAGCACGCCGTCTCGCTCCTTCCCAGCAAAGCTCTCTGCAAGCTATTTCCACGGTTTCGTATCCGTCCAGCATGCTGTCTCGCTCCCTCCCAGCAAAGCTCTCCGCGAGCTATGCGCACGGTTTCCTATCCGTCCAGCATGCTGTCTCGCTCCTTCCCAGCGGAGCTCCCCGCACGCTATTTGCACGGTGTCCCATCCGTCCAGCATGCTGTCTCGCTCCCTCCCAGCAAAGCTCTCCGCAAGCTATTTCCACGGTTTCCTATCCCTCCAGCATGCTATCTCGCTCCTTCCCAGCGAAGCTCTCCGCGAGCTATTTGCACGGTTTCCTATCCGTGCAGCATGCTGTCCCGCTCCCTCCCAGCAGAGCTCTCCGCAAGCTATTTGCGCCGTTTCCTATCCGTCCAGCATGCTGTCTCGCTCCCTCCCAGCAAAGCTCTCCGCGAGCTATGCGTGCGGTTTCCTATCCGTCCAGCATGCTGTTTCGCTCCTTCCCAGCGGAGCTCTCTGCAAGCTATTTGCACGGTGTCCCATCCGTCCAGCATGCTGTCTCGCTCCCTCCCAGCAAAGCTTTCCGCGAGCTACTTGCACGGTTCCCTGTCCGTCCAGCATGCTATCTCGCCCGTCCCACCAAAGCTCTCCGCAAGCTATTTCAACGGTTTCCTATCCGTCCAGCATGCTATCTCGCTCCCTCCCAGCGAAACTCTCCGCGAGCTATTTGCACGGTTTCCTATCCGTACAGCATGCTGTCTCGCTCCCTCCCAGCGAAGCTCTCCGAAAGCTATTTGCACGGTTTCCTGTCCATCCAGCACGCCGTCTCGCTCCTTCCCAGCAAAGCTCTCTGCAAGCTATTTCCACGGTTTCGTATCCGTCCAGCATGCTGTCTCGCTCCCTCCCAGCGAAGCTCTCTGCCCAGCTATTTGCGCGGTTTCCTACCCGTCCAGCATGCTGTCTCGCTCCCTCACAGCAAAGCTCTCCGCGAGCTATTTCCACGGTTTCCTATCCGTTCAGCATGCTATCTCGCTCCCTCCCAGCGAAGCTCTCCTCGAGCTATTTGCACGGTTTCCTATCCGTACAGCATGATGTCTCGCTCCCTCCCAGCGAAGCTGTCCGAAAGCTATTTGCACGGTTTCCTGTCCGTCCAGCACGCCCTCTTGCTCCTTCCCAGCAAAGCTCTCTGCAAGCTATTTCCACGGTTTTGTATCCGTCCAGCATGCTGTCTCGCTCCCTCCCAGCGATGCTCTCTGCCCAGCATTTTGCACGGTTTCCTATCCGTCCAGCATGCTGTCTCGTTCCCTTCCAGCAAAGCTCTCCGCGAGCTATTTGCACGGTTTCCTGTCCGTCCAGCATGCTGTCTCGCTCCCTCCCACCAAAGCTCTCCGCAAGCTATTTCC